GGTTGATTGTGGAGGTGTCGAGTTGGGAGTAGGGGTCGTAGGTCGGGTTGTTCTTGTGCACGGAGATCTCGGGGTTGGGTTGGATGTGGGTGCGCAAGTCGGAGACGCCGCCGATGTGGTCGTGGTGCCAATGGGAGAGAAGGGTGGTGGCTATGGTGGCCTTTTCGGAGGTGAGGAGGGAGGAGAGGGCGTCGCGCCAGGAGGAGCGGCCTTCGCCTGTGTCGAGGAGGATGCGGGTGGGGCCGGTGCCGAGGAGGTATGTGTTGGAGCCTTGGGTTGAGTTAGTGAAGACATTGGGGAAAGGGTTGTTGAGACTCGCCTTGGAGTGTGAACTGTAGGTGTCTAAGATCAGCCTGAGAGGCCTACATGGCATTTGTCTCGCTGCAATATCACCTACCTTGCTAGGATTACCACCCAATATTCTGATCACGCTGGTGCTGACCTTCTCCGTCTCTGGAAGTTCCGGTAGGTTCAACGCCATTCTGTTGTATTCTCTTACCCAGGCCGCGGAAGGGTTTGGTCGTATGAAGCTTGGGCTTTTGTACATGTCAATCACATGTCTAGGGGCACCGCGCCTGAAAAGAACTGCGGGACTGGAAAGAGAGGCCGGGGAGGCCCGTGATGCCGCGACGTGCTGAGCTGACAGGAATGAATGTGTGTGAGGAGATGCTCACCGAGTATGCAGTAGCGTCAGGAGGCCTCTACAACTTCGCATTCTTTGCGCTCCATCGACGGTGAGATCAAGCGCGGTTCTGAACCGATCGGAATGGCGCGAAGTCATCGTCGCATACCGAGGCTCGGCGACGGTGTTTCTCCGGTCCGACAAAGCAGCTAGTTCCAAAGATCCCGTGTTAAGCGTTTGCCAAAGTTCTTTGGTTGCTTTTGACATTACGAAGATATCAAAATGTCTGTCTGTGGAACATGGATGACCTGGACTGGCTGTCGAACACAGACAGGAGCTCAGATGGGTCGCAATGACCGTAACACAGGTCTACGACCGTAGCATCGCGCCATACGCCCATCGGTTGGAAAGTTAGGGCTGCATCATGGCGAGATCACCACCAGCGAAGCCGCCCCATATCGACATTATCTTGCTGGGGTCACCTGGCGTCGGGAAAGCCACCTTTGTATCGTAAGGGTCATCATTGCCAACCTTCGATGAAACACTTACATCGGTAGGCGTCTCCCTCATGTCCAACACCCCTCTGTCACTCGACGTGAGCGTCTAGCAGCACAGCCACAACAGTCTGAGCGATCTCCAGCCTCACAGCAGAATCGCTATCGTCCACAACTATCTAACGACAGCGAGACTACTTTGGTAGATCCCATTCCACAACCGAACGGCCACAACCATGACCCCAACGCCAGCGAGACCACCCTAGTCAACCCACCCACCACCACATCAACATCTTTCAACGCCAGCTCCGAGGGCCTTGGCCCATCACGAGCTCCAGCCGCCACTTCACCACCAACCACCAACCCACCACCCCTCCACAACCCCCTAACCTTCTCCGTCTCCCTCTACGCCCGCCCCTACACAATCACAATCCACCCCTCCACAACCCCCCTCTTCACCGACCCCTTCCCCCCAAACCCCAACCTCCTAATCCTAACCTTCT